CGTCGGTACGCAACCACTTGGGTTCGAACCCAGGACCTTCTGGTTACAAGACGAGCTCGTAGACCATATAACTGATATCAGCTTGTGACGAAATCTTCCAACCAATCAAACAAGATCCTTTCAAAACCAATAACTGAAAATCGATCTGATGTTCATTAGTGACTGGCAGTATTCAGGCAATTAACCTAGGGTTCTAATGGGAAGCCGTGGTTGGTAGGGTGCATCAGGTTAAAGCTGAGGCAGTAGCTCATCTACGAAGACACTGCGAAGTGGTCGCGCTATGTAGTGAATTGGCAGAAGTTGGAATTCACGGGTTTGCCATTGGATCGGATTCCAGTGGGTTAATAGTCTACGAACCCGTGGTGATGGGTGCGCATAGATGAAGAGTACCAAACTAGGCTGATGGTGCAGTCGGCTGTCCTGTACTCCTAGCTAGTTTTCCGATTGTCCCCCAACTTATGTCAGATCATGCTGAAATCCTTTAACCAATGGATTGAAATCCTTACATAACCAATACTTTAAAATAGATTTCTATTTCTCTATGTCCAAGGCAGAAGTAGGAAATGTACATATTTCTTTCATACACAAGGGTCTGGCTTGAATTTATGGATGACCAAGGCCTTCGCTCCTTTTAGACGTTTAAAACGAAGAAAACGCAGCAGGTTAGCATGAATTCAATAGCTGATCTTAAATCAGGGTTTGTAGAGTGACAGGAGTCGACCAAGTGTTTTAAAAATAAAGCTTCACATTCCCTTCGTTTCTCGCTTGTGAAACCATGCTAGAAGATATTGTCGTGTTCATGTGGAAAGCGATCTTTGGCTACGGACGATGTAGTTTGCTTCACATGAGCAGTTGAGGTGTTAGATACGCAAGGCGACGGTCAGACGAGGAGGCTTATCTTTTGCAGAGATGAAGAACAGCTTACAAATGATGAACACCTAACTGATTGATTCAGAGAGACAATTTTCGCTAATATCTGAGGCTCGATCACCTTTTGAATTCCAAATTCATAAAGATGATTTTCTTCGGAACTAAGTCGGTGACTGTTTTGGATTGCTTATCACTGATGTTTTTTCAATAAATCCATTCGGGTCACCGTTTTCTGCTAGTATGGCTTTGAAGAAGGAAAATTCTTATGCTAAAGTAGACAGGATAAATTTTAATTGAGCTTCACGCTATTATTATTCTATGTATTCACGCCTTTGTTTACATTTTCTCATGGGATATAATTTCTTAAAAAGTAAACATATATACGATTGTATAGCTTGATAATAAATTCATTGAAAAGAGACTCTTCTCTGAACATTGTGTTCTTAATTCCTGTTTTATACTCCTTTTCATAATAATAATAATCAGAGGGTCGACTAATATTTTTACTTCATGAATAATCCCCATCCAGACATTAATGATAACAAAACACGTAGCTCGTTAAAGAGTCTGTTTCCGTCGAAATTCAATCACTTAGCTATACGGTCGCAATTATACATACTTATTTTAGGTATGTGTGTGTACATTGGATTTATCCGATAAGAATAGATATAAGTTAGGAAAACTGTCATCAAGACATTTGAAAAATGTGATGAGTATTCAAACTGTAACTGAGAGGGGTGGGCGCTGAAGACTATTGAGGAAGTAGTGGTGATGTCTTGTCAAAAAACATATTTATTAACACATAAAAGAAGTTGAATAAGCGCAATACAGTTGCGTAATAAGATGACTAGTTTATTGAGTAGCATAGAAACAAAGGAAATATACGATTATATAAGACTTCTAAAAATTACAAATGTTATAAGGAGTTAGAAAAACAAGAAAACAAGCACACAGCCACCAAGCCAGTGGAAGTCAACACGGTTGTTACCATGATAGTAAAGATCGTCGGGGGATTTCCTTTATTATACATAACTTTGGCATTTTTAACTGGACAGAAATAAAAGTGAGACGAAAGCGTATTGCCTTCATTTTATAGATAGCTTTTTGAAGCAGAAGGCATTTGTTGAGATGGAATGGGTAGTGTTAACAAGGTGTTTGATTATCGCACTCCTGATACAGTCACTATTTCTCTTTTTGTAGCCATAGTCGGCAGCAATGTATTGACAACAATAACCCTAACTTATTTTTATTCTTATTGCGTCGGTGGTATAGCGGTTAGGACACTCGCCGACCATGCATATGGTCCGGGGTTCGATCCCCGGCCGGCGCTCTCCTTTACCTCGCTAAGCTAAAAATAATGCTGGTAAAGAGGAAAGGTTGGGCATGAGGCTAGCAACCCCATCCTGTAAAAATAAACACTGCTACAGAAACTTCAAGCTACTAGCTTGAAGCCCTATGCTCCACTGGGAACGTGAAGGAAAAATTAAATCAATTGAATAAACCTAATGAAGGGAAAAGAACAAGAAGTTGAGCAAACAGATATCTGTCTCTTCGGAAATTTCATTCTAAAAGCACACGTACAATCGCATTCATATATATATATATATTAGTTTACCTGGATACAATCATTGTTTATTTATTTGATTCCACATTGTAACGAAGGTGATAATAATTTTCAACTTGATAGGAAAGTCTGACGGTACGAATATAGATTACAAGGAACTGGGAGACAAGATTGCATAGGATTAGAAAACAGTTACAACGTGTGCAAAATTGATATTTGATAACTGGAGAAATAATTTCAAAGGTGAATAAAGGGCGACAATCATTTTCAACTTGATATGAACCACAAGAGGCACAGAAACAAAAAAAATACACAGGATTAGAATGTAATATATATAATATAATTTGTCAAAAGCATCCTGGTTCAAAATGGATACCCACCGCGTTTCCTGGAGAAGAACATGAAAGCAAAGCCAAAAGGAGAAAAATGCACCTCACTGCCAAAGAAAACACATTATTTGAATCTGAAATTATGGGAAGACCCAGCAGCAGATATCCCTAAAAGGAGAATCTCCAATTCCCTCAAGAAGACTTTCCCTGCTACAACTCTAAGAGTGATATTCTCTAGCCGCCCACTGTTTCGGAGCAACGGGAAAAAAGGACTTTTGCGTATGACCACTTCATTTGGCATATCTCAGTTCACCTGCTCGTGCGGAGCTAGGTACATACGTTGTTGTATTTGGGTCTTATCAAAACGTGTTAGAGAATATCATCCAGCATGGCTGCGAAGAGGAGGCATTGGCTCACTCAGAAGCGCCATAAATGAACACCTCGTCAGTACTTGTCACGGCGTCTAAACTGACTCATCATTCAGAGTCATTTACAAAGTAAACGAAAATCTACCAAAGGTAGTATGTTTCCGAATACCTTGTAATGCAAAATCTCTCACCATATGCATAGGAAAGCCGAAGGTGTGTGTTCAAAAGAAACTAGTCTAGCCTTTACAACTAACATGGACTTAACACTTTGATAAAGCTATTAGCATTAAATAGCGAAATGTCAGTAACAACGATATCGTTTTGTTTTTCATTCATTGGGAAATATATTTTATATTTCCCAATGAATGAAAATATATATAAAGTTTATTAAATCCTCCATGCAATCAAACAAAATCCCTACAAAAACCAATACTTGAAAATTCATCTGATGCTCACTAGTGACTGGCCCTATTCAGGCAGTTAACCTGGAGTTCTAGTGGGTAGCCGTTACCAGTAGGGTACAGCAGATCGAAGATGAGGCAGTAACTCATCGAAGAAGACATTGCGAAGTGGTCGTGCTATGTCGTGAATTAGCAGAAGTTAGAATTCAAGAACCATTGGATCGGGTCCCAGTGGCTTAATGGTCTACCAGCTCGCCTTGTAACCAGAAGGTCCTGGGTCCGAATCCCGGTGAGTGCAAACTGCCGAAGAGTCCCAGACTAGGACGAAACTTCTTTCCAGTACTCCCAGCTGGTTTTTCAGTGGTTCTCTAACTGATGTCAGCTCATGATTAAATCCTCCATGCAATCAAACAAAATCCCTACAAAACCAATACTTGAAAAATATAAAAACCTTTATTATAATGAATACCGTGGACCTATTTCGGTGTGTTTCCTTATCCTCCAGTTCTTTGTCCTCTATCTGTGTAATTTTCTCCTTTTATCTTCATTCAATTCATCCCACTTTTTTGTTATAAAATCAGTTATTTTAAGTTTGTTTCCATGCTCCTCCTGATCACACTTTTAATTCGTTTAGAATAACTATTTTACAATTATATTCTAATCCTGTGTAATATTTTGTTTCTATGCCTCACGTTATCTATATTCATACCTCCTAACTTACAATTCAAGTTGAAAATTCTGATTTCAATTTGTTTCCATGCTCATTTTGTTCAAATATATAATTCGTTCTCTCTCTGTGTAACTTTTGTTTCTAAATGCGATTGTACAACTGCCTTTATGAATGAAATCGCCGAAAACATCTTCATCTTTGCTGAACTTCTTGTTCTTTTTTCTTTATTGCCTCGATCGGTATTTTCCACTATTTGAAGAATACCTTATGTGTCCACACATACAAAAATAGGTATATATATATGTATATGTTTGCGACTGTACATCTAAGTGAATGAATTCACCGCCGAAAAGAGACTCTTCACTGAACTACTTGATTTGTTTTCATTAATATATGTACCATAAAAACCGTATAGTTTCCTCTAGTTTTCAAGATCTTACCGGTTAATGAAGAGAATGTTTACTACTGAGTTTAACCGAAGAACATGTTTCCACTTACAGGAAACATATTTTTTTTAAAGATTTCATTAATTCTCCACTAGTTTTTCTTTTTTTCTAAAAATTTGTTTATGTTAAAATTACAATCTGTTTACTGTTTTCGAAGGAGAGAGGAAATCACTTCAAAATCTGAATCGTCATTAACATGTTATTTTTGTTTATTTGTATTTCTTTTGTGATTTTACAAGTTTACAAGTGTAACTCTTACTTCTCAAATGAATCTGATTGGCTATTTGGTCGACCAATAGAAATTTGAGTTGAACCATACATAGTAGAGAAACTTTATTTTTATAGTTCATGTCAACAAAATAAAAGTTTTTTTTTGCATCTTTTTTGGATTACATAGACTTTATTGAAATGCTCACTTTATAATTGAGATAATGTTTATACATTAAATAACTGATGGTATTCAGCTGTCTACATATTTCTGATATTTCTAACAGGTGAGTGGTTCTGGAGTAATAAATTGTTGAATTATCACAGAAACTATACGTCGATATTTTTATGGAAATTGTAATTAGTTGTCAATGATAATTATAGATTTATTTCACCACGATTTGACGTTGAGTTAAAGGTGAACTGGAAAGCCGTTTGGTCGTAGTCTCCTTGGTCCCTTCATCGATACGCCTTCACTGGGGTTCGAACCCAGAAGCTACAAATCTCAACACGAGCTTCTAGACCATTCACTAACTGGTGGCCAGTCCAGTGATCCATGCGTTCCAGAAAATATATGTGGTTAATCTAAGTTGGCTGTTAGGGTGGGTTCCAGTGGACGAATGGTTTATAAGCCCACTTTGTAATTTGAAGGCCATGGAGTCGAACTCAAGTGAGCGTGCACTGTGAAGAGTCTAAATTGGGACGAAACAATTGTCCAGTACTTCCAAAGGTCCCACTGGTTCTCTTACTGATGTTGACTTGAGGTCACACGTGTAACTAATCCATTCCCTGAAGACCAACGCTTGGTACTTATGATTAAAACTATTAGTATTGTTATTATTATTCATTTTACATATTCCAAGTAGAGCAGAGAGCCTTAGAAGCAATTCTCCACTCCACTCTACGCTGAATTGTAAATGGCTCCACGAGTGTTCACAAAATTTTATTTCCCTCCAACATGATCTCCTGCATACTGCCTATGGACTCACGCACAACTGCTCGCTTCGTAGAAAGACTGAATTTGAAGGGCTGACTTGTAATGTCACTCAACGATCTTTTTACTGTATGTTCAAATCATTTTCATTTCTTTTTGTATGTTTGTCGGGTGACAGGTTCTTGGTTAAGTTGTCCACTGACCCCCCCCCATGAACGACTTGATACTGTTGGGAGGAGGAGTCATGTTTGACCTCCTTATGGGAATATTTCCATGTGGCGACGCATTCATAGCCTCCGCTAGATAAGTACTATTCACTGCTTTCATTAGGCAGAGATTACAATTGGACTAGTAGACATGCCAGTCTACCTAGAAAGGCTGGATTAACGAAATTCCTAGAGTATGGTGCGCATAGGCTGTGCAACCTGAAAGGACTGAATGATGTATGAACCTGTTCAGGTAACTGTCAGCAAACGAAACGCAACTTTTAACGTTGCTTCACTGTCATGTGAGTCAGAATTCAAGTCAGAATCTTGAATTGGCTGCTCAAGGCAACTACCTATTTTCGTTTCAGTATTTGGGAAGTATCTCAACCCTCGTACAAGCTATTAGATTCTGTGTAAAGCATCTCTTGGTGTCATCTCTTGTGTTTTAATGTTAATAGTAATTCTTATCTAGTCGGTAATCTGACCATCAGTACCACTGAAATCCAGAATCTGTCGATAAAAGTCTACAGCCTCTCAAAGGTTGCTTTCACGTGACAAGCCAAGTCTGTTCAGTTTAATGGAAGCTTTGTCTAACTTGACAATTGTTATTGATAATGCGAATCATTTTACTTTTGTTGAGTGCATTAGCTTTTCACACTGATTTCAGATCAATAAATGCCTGTCTTCAATCTTCTATCATGACTGACTGTGACGTCCTCATCCACTCCCACTTTTATGATTGTATACAATTACTTAACCTGCCTTACATAACCCGTGAGACTAGCTTTCACCTTGAAAGTTAAATTGATTTTCTGTACACCGGTTTCCTTTCTTTCTTCCCAGAACCGTCCCTCATACTGCTGCAAGGTAATCTTAAATATAGGTTCATTGAATAGTGATCATTGGGTATAAGTGCATGAATAAAACAATAAGAGATGCAGAAAATTTCAAGTCCTGTGGTAGATAAAAATTTTGGTAGCCTTTTTATAATATAATAATAATAATAATAGCTTTATTCCAAAAACAGTACTCATGATACAGCAAGGAATTTTCAGCATTCAGTACAATATTGCATCTAATTTACCCAAAAACGACAAAAAAAAATTAAAAATACACAATACATAATAGTAATAAAACGATTGTTGTAGCAGCTACGTAGCAAAATACTATGTGCCATACGGAGAAAAATATGTATAAAATACAAAATTGTAGTAATAATAGTAATACCAACTAATATAAAATAGCAGAGTAACGATTTAAACAATAGAAAGTGTAACACCATAAAATACAGAAAGATGAGCGATAAAAGGGTCGATTCACTGTGCTAATTACATAGTAACTTGTAGGTTTCACGTCTAACAGAGTCTTCGTCACATAAAGTACGCGCTAAATAGGGTATTGTAGAATTTCTATACTTAGTAGTACGAGCATATATCTTTTTATATTGACTTCTCGTCCTACCTGATGAGATACAAGGGGACAGGTGTGAATAAAGGGGGTGCAGAGGGTCTGACATTATAGCCTTTGCCCATTTCGTACAGGAATTTATATGCCTCTCGACTATAGTATTAGCGAGCTCATGCAGTGGCAGACCACAAGCTCTACTCACAGCATTTAATACTCTTCGTAATATGATATAATCTTTTTTGAGCAGCCCAGGAAAGATTAATGGAGAGCAGTAGAGTACAATAGGTAAAATACAGGAGTTTAAAAATTGCAAAACTAAAGGTTGGTTGATACCTGATTGTCTTAACTTTTTAATGTAGAAGGTAAGACGAAACATTTTCTTAGAGATAGATAAGATATGAGATGACCATGAAAGGTCAGAGGAAAAAACTAGTCCAAGGTATTTAATACTTGATTTGGTTTCAATTTCCGTGCCATCTATGCTACAGGGATCATGAGAGTTAACTAGTTCAAGTAAGTCACGTCGATGCTTGAAAGTAAAGTCAAGCACCTGACATTTGGAAGGATTTAACATAAGACCATTTGACTTGGACCAGTTGTTGATGTCCAACAGAAAGCTATTGAGTTTGGAGCTGTCAGACTCGGAAGTGATAGGCAGTGATACAGTCAGATCATCTGCATATTTGACAAAGTTAGTTTCGTTTGAATGAGGCAGGTCATGTAGGAAGAAAGAAAATAGAAAAGGAGAGAGGACAGCACCTTTAATTTAAGTAGGCCACTACAAATCTTCATCTGTATGAGTCTATTGTTTACTTATCTGCTGCGGACACATGAAATAAATTTGTGGTTTTTATCAGGTCTAGATAACTTCTTCTTGACAAATTATTATTAATACAATTCATTTGAGTTTTTAGAGGAACATAGAGCTTCAATAGTAAATTCTCACCTGTGATCTGTTCTCCGTGGTACTCTCCAGCTGGTCCTATGATTTCCTATAATATTGTATCTCCTCCCCACACGACCTCTTCCATGTCACTTTCAAAGCAAGGCCATTCGGGTTCCACTCAACCGATGGTCTAACAATCCTGACTCATCTTCATTTGATTTGGAATGTTCACAGGGCTAATGGTCCCGGAGTTGTTAGTTGTCAGGTGTCAAATTTACTGATTCTTTCTGACTGGTCATTTAATCTTCAGCATGAAGCCAATGAAGGTGATAGCTGTTGATAAAAGTCGGAAGTAGCCTGTTGGAATTGCTTTCCTCGGATGAGCTAATCAATTTTCTGACCCATATAGAAGAACTGACTCACTTAACACTGGTGTTGAAAATCCAAATATTGTTTCATTCAGCGTAGTGTGTTCAGAAGATTTCCAAACTGACTTTAGAGTGGTAAAGGTCTTAACAAGTTGCTATTATGATAATCAGTAATTTTTAATAGTGAAGTCTGTATTAAATTCGATAGAATTCTAACTAACTCTTGGTCTAGGTATTCAAACAGTATCTCAGGCCCATTACACGCTTTGCGACTGTGTGTGTGGTGCACCTGTCGGCTCCCACAGTGTACGAGACTTTAATAATAATCCTATCCAGCTGGTCATCTAGTCATCGATAGAGGAAAGTGTTCAGAGAAGTAGCTTTCGGTGGCGCATCAAGTCTCTCCACCTTATAAAAACATTGACTAATTTGAAAATTATTGTTCATAACTTGGATCGTTTTACCTTCTCTGGGCACAGTGAATTCTCGCATTGGTTGGTTCTCCTATTTTGACTCGCTTTGACATCCCAATTTTGTGAAAGCCTGATTATTTAATTGATAATTTACATTTTCCCGTCGACTGATTGGTCTCAGGTTGACATGTTGACTTCTTGTGCAGATGCTTCGACGATGTCTGGGCATTTAATTAGAATTTAGTTTGTGGATGGTGTCAATCAGTGAAACCCAGGATGCACATCTCGTCTTATTTGGGACTCGTCAGGTGGATGTGGGAAGCGCTTGGCATTTGAAACTAAGGACATTGGGTTCAAGCCTCGGTGGGAACATCATCAAAGAGCTGACGAGTCCCAAATAGGATGGAATGCGCTTTATTCTTGATTACACTGTCAGTCACCATCCAATAATTAATTTTTAATTTAATTAACTATTTGAAATGCGTTTTGGACAATAGGTTCTGGAGTCGTTTGTTCCAAGGATTCCGTTTCGCTGATTACTTCCTGCTGGCCATCTGATCCTCAGTATGAAGCCAGTGAATGCAACTGTCGATAAAGGTCTAAAATAGCCGGTTGGAAATGATTTTCATGATTGGGTCGACAAGTTTTATGGCTATATATATATAGGCATTAACTGACCTAACAATAGTGCTGAGAATTCGGATTCGGCTCTTTTTTGCATGGTGAATGCAGACAACTTCTTAAATGATTTCAGAGTGATGAAGGTCAAGTTCCTATTATAATTGTTAATTGTAGTACTAGTCAAATCAGCACTAAATTAGATCGAATTCTGACTAGTATTCAACATTTTGAATGACAACTGCCTGTAATTCAGACTGTTGGTTGGGTTGTGCACGAGTTTTGGATACATTGCAAAGAAGATTTCATCATGAACCAACATTCATCAGAGAGATCACTGAAATCTAGGAAGAGTATTGCAAGACTGTTTCTCCCTAGTTTGGATGAGATGGTTAGGTGTATTGAGAATCGTTGAGAATCCCGAAAAATAAAACAGAAATATACTTCTGGAGTAA